ACAGTGGGCCGGATGCGCAGCTGAATCTCGCCAAAGGTGGGGGCCGAATGCTTTTCTTCTGGGGAGAACCAATGGATATGGAAATCAGAGTTTCTTCTGCAAGGAGAGAGCATCCTTACTCTTCCCAGCTGGTGATGCTGGATTGCAGCTTCGAAGATGGAATTGTCTATGCTGATGGATATAAAACGGAAATTTCGACTTGTGCATGGCCGAGTGACGGCACCTTTCCAAGCACATCCAAGAGCCAGATTCAGAGCACCGGGAAAGGAACGATGTCTTTGTCTGGCTTAGAAGGAGCGCTTTCTGAGAAGAGAGTGAAAAGATTTAGATCGCTTCGTGCATGATGTGGTACCTTCTAGAAAGGGAAGGCTTCCCTCTTCGTTGCATAGGGATTGCACGTGCGACCACTTCGTCTCGAGGACTATTCTAGATTCGTTGCCAGTGCTAGATCCTGGCGAATCTATCCTGCATGCACCTGAACTCGCCTGGGCACGACTGCAATGCAGAGACTCTTCTGGTGTCACCTAAATCTAGTCGCATCGGATGGAACGGATTTTTACCGATACTTATCCAACATCTTCAGTCTAGTTTGATTTTGACTGAAATTTCTCGCTGCTTCCCAAGGAACTCTCAATCTTCTGTCCCATCAAGAGTGATACTATTTAATGCAGAACGTCGTAGCAAATCTTCTTTCGTTTGATCATCTTGTGTTTTGAAGAACACCCTGGAAAAAGGTTCTCGGTGAGTGACTCAAGGTATCGAAACAAACAGCTCAATGTGCAGCGATGAAATACAACGACGTTTCAAAAGCGTTCCGCAACACCGCAATAAGCAACGTCCGAGAGAGGGCTCCTTATCTCTAGATCTGCATCATTGCGTTATCTGCATTCGAAACGTTCGATCACCAAGCAGTTTTCAGACGCAGCTTCCTTTCGACGTCTCATCTACTTCTTTCAATGCGGATCAGGTCGCTCGGAGGGGGGTCAGACAACCGCCCACGAGAGAGGGACCGAGTTCTACAAGGAGATCGGCCACAAAGGCGGAGAAACAGTTTGCGACGAAAAGGGGCGAGAGTTCTACCAAGAGATTGGTCACAAAGGGGGGGAGACGGTTAAGCAGAAACGGGGGCCTGAGTTCTACAGGGAGATCGGTCACAAGGGGGGGGAGGCTGTGAAAGAAAAGTACGGGCCTGAGTTCTACAAGGAAATAGGGCACGAGGGGGGCGAGAAAGTGAAGGAAGAAAAAGGACCGGAGTTCTATCGTGAGATTGGACACAAGGGGGGGCAGAAAGGGGGGGAGACCGTCAAAGAAAAGTACGGTCCGGAATTCTACAAGGAGATTGGTCACAAGGGGGGGGAGACGGTGAAAGAGAAGTACGGTCCCGAATTCTACAGTGAGATCGGTCACAAGGGGGGGGAGAAAGTGAAGGAAGAAAAGGGGCCGGAGTTCTATAGAGAGATCGGTCACAAGGGGGGGGAGGCTGTGAAAGATAAGCACGGGCCAGAATTTTACCACGAGATCGGCCAGAAGGGGGGGGAGAAAGTGAGGGAAGAGAAGGGCCCGGAATTTTATCGCGAGATCGGCCACAAGGGGGGTGAGACAGTCAGAGACGAGAGGGGGCGAGAGTTCTACCAGGAGATCGGTCACAAGGGGGGTGAAAAAGTGAAAGAGGAAAAAGGTCCAGAGTTCTACAAAGAAATCGGTCATAAGGGGGGTGAAAAAGTGAAAGAGGAAAAAGGTCCGGGGTTCTATAGAGAGATTGGACACAAGGGGGGGGAGACGGTGAAAGAAAAGTATGGCCCGGAGTTTTCCCGGGAGATCGGTCACAAAGGGGGGGAGAAAGTGCGAGACGAGAAAGGGCCTGAGTTCTACAGAGAAATCGGTCACAAGGGGGGGGAGAAAGTGCGAGACGAGAGGGGTTCGGAGTTCTACAGGGAGATTGGTCACAAGGGAGGGGAGAAAGTGAAAGAAGAGAAAGGGCCCGAGTTCTACAGAGAGGTTGGCCACAAGGGGGGGGAGAAGGTGCGTGACGAGAGGGGTTCGGAGTTCTACAGCGAGATTGGCAAAAAGGGGGGAGAGAAGGTGAAAGAAGAAAAGGGTCCGGAGTTTTATAGGGAGATCGGTCATAAGGGGGGCGAGAAAGTGCGAGACGAGAAGGGTTCGGAGTTCTACAGAGAGATCGGCCACAAGGGGGGCGAGAAAGTGCAAGACGAGAGGGGTTCGGAGTCCTACAGCGAGATTGGCCGCGAGGGGGGGGCAACAGGTCGATCCGACAACCCGGAAAGACCCCCCGTCAGTCACAAGAGGCCGCACGAAGAGAGCGGCGGTCTCAAGGGGGGGGCGGCGGAATCCGCGGGGGTCAAGCTTCCGTCCTATAGGATCGTCGAAGGGATCAGAGTCGAGAAGGACGTAGACTTCTACAAGGCGGTGGGGTATAAGGAGCCAGCTTTTCCGGAGTCGACCATTCGGATCGTTCCCGATAAGAGCAACGGGGACGTCTGGAAATACAAAGGTGCTGAGAACGAGGAAAGCGCGGGAGTATGAAAGCGGCAGTGGAGATAGGGCGGTTTTGAAGGTGTGATTAGGGGCCCTGTTAACGGGCAGTCGGTTTGGAAGTATGAGGGCGATGTCTAAAGGTTTAGAATTTAGGACCCTGAGTGCCCTGTAATGAATCGGTCAGGTCGTTTTGTTTGATACGGAGCTGATCTGGTGTGAATAAAAGACGAGACATGATCCAGTGGGTGACACGGGCAGTAGGTGGATCTATTTGAAGGTTTAAGCAACGCCCAGGTTTAAGCAAAGCTGACATGATGGTATTCGGACAGTGTCAATGATCGAGTCCAACAAGGACTGGTGTAAAGAACCGGTGAAGCGCGTGGACCAGAAGTAATGTGAATGCGAAAGTAGTGAGCTGCGACCGGTATATGCACCCCGGCCGCCGGCTCATTGCTAGGTTTTTGAGTAATGTGGGCTGAGTCCAGCTTCGCTCAATGTATCTGTATGCATGCATCAGTGAGCAATTATGCTAGCTGACGGCTATGTACATGAGCGAGCAGATCTGAAGTGCATGATATGAACACAACTCTTTTGCATGGCGGCCATGGCTATTTAGTATGACGGCCCGGACTTCCTCCGCGGCGACATGTTAATTGAATATGATCTCCGAAGCTGTCTGACGGCATGGGCTTGTGATTGGACGGTTACGGTACGTGATCGAGCACATGCAGCTGCATGTGCTGGCACTGATTTCAGCGTGACTCGACAACTGCAATGATCAAGAACTCGATTATAAATCGCGGGAAATTAGTGATTGTGGTATAAAAATCTTGTTTCCGGAAGATGCTAGCTGGTTTGATGTGGGAAAGCTAATAAAACCTGTTTTTGGAAGATTCTCAGGCCCAATTGTCCTGGCATGACATGATGCAAGTTGCAACATCTCGTGGTACTAGCTCCGTTTCCTCATATTAGTGTGAAATAACCCATCGTGCCCCGCATGTCAACCAATCAAACCGGACTCCGCTCGCATGCATAAAACTTAGGTGCCAACTAGCGCTAAAAGAAAAAGGCTCAACGTACCTCACTGCATAACACGCAGTTCAGACATGAACTGCGTGCCCCTGCTCAGTAGGACCATTCTGATGACTATGTGAGTGAAAATGCTTGATCAATGTCAGAATCGACAGCGCCCTTAAACACTTCCGCACCTAAGAACCAATTGACAGTGTGGGCGCTAAATGGATTAGCACGTTCCTAACATGGGAAAAGTCAATTCGACGCAGTCTGCAGGAAAGAATGATGGTTGTGGTGTTTCTTGTTTCGAGTGCTTGTCTACGTGGGTCAACGATGCAATGACTCTTCTAGACACACACGCACGCGCCCTTGTGGAAGACGCCGTTATTGGAAGAACTCTACCCTAATCGATTCCACAGTCAGCTACGAAAGGTTTCCAAAGTCGACAGAGACAGCAAACTAGTCAAGCACAGCAGCTACGCAATCTCTAGAATAACTTAGTAGCCTGGTCCTCCCTTTTTTAACTCCACCAGCCACTTTTCAGTTGCTCTAGCACGAACAGTCCGCCTACCAACTGTGATAAATACAGCCGTCTCCCGTCCCTGCAAACCGTCCCAAGCCCATCCCTCGCCTAAAATCTCGGTCTCTGCCAAACCCCACCGTAACCGAAACTCTCCAACTCCCCGCAGCAAAATTTCGTTCTCTGCGACCAACCCCGGGTTCCTGTATCTCCTGACACTCCCGGATCTAAGGACCGTAGTACAGCCCGTTTGCATAAGCGCTCCCCGCGTATGCCCCGCCTGCCGCTGGATCCGTCGCACTGGACGGCGACTTGTCCGCAATCCCGCTGACTGAGAAGAACGTCGTATATCCGATCCCCAGCCCGATAAGCATCGCCCCGAGGACGAGCCACACGTAGGGGGGTATCCTGTTGCGCCGCCCCATAAGACCCTTGGCGAACGGGTATAAGTGGATGAGCACCCAGCCGGAAAACGCGAGCTTCCCGAAGAGATCCCCCCAGGAAGGGACGGTTTTCGCGAGCTCCCTGGTGATTCCGATCGCGATGCCCAGGAGGTTGACGAGAACGATCGCAATGGGGGGGACGATGAGCCACGTCCAGCGGAAGACATACAGCTCCGCGAACTCGTCGTCAGCGTCGCCAAGGTCTTTTTGCGTGAGCGTGAACTTGGAGTCGACGCGGAAGATGACCTTGAGCAGGCCTTGCCACACGGCGGCCAAGTGCGAGCTCGTGCCTCCGATAACCCAAAACTGCGCAGGGGAGAATAGCGGGTTAACGAGGGTTTATGCGGGTAATGGAAGGATCAGCAGCGGTTTCGAAGGCTGGTCAGGAGACAGAGGCTTGCTCTTTTTGAAGGAGTAAAATGCATCCAAAGAGGAAGTGGCGGGGAACTCTAGCCCGGTCGCAAGAGCTGGCAACGAAACGGCAGAGCCAAGGAAACAACCTGAACACCCCGCAGGTTTGTCAAAGTGCTGCTCCTAGCTAGACCCAACATCAGTCATGTAACGTCCTCATGCAGACACCTTTTGTCACTGCGACATGCATGAGAAACGCAGGCTCCCAACTGCTCATATGACAATTTCAAGCTCGACACACCCCAAAAGCGTTCCTCTCCTCTCACCTGCTCGTTCCTCCAGTAGTCCGTGAACGTGACGTTGCTCCAGCGCATCTCCATAATGGCGGTCGCTGCGATCGACGCGAAGAAGACGAAGAAGTAGACGAGCGCGGTCGAGCTGATCTCGGGCGTCACGAACTGGTTGAAGAAGAGGCAGAGCGCGGGGAGCATGCAGTAGACGACGAGCGGAATGCTCGTGAACGGGTAGACGGTCGTGTTGATGTACGCGAGGCGCTGCGCGCCCTTCAGCCCGCGGTTGCCCTTGCGGTAGCCGTACCACAGCGGGTTGTGGCGCGAGAAGAAGATCTCGACGGAGCCGAGACCCCACCGGAGGACTTGGTGCAGACGATCGGCCATGTTGATAGGGGCGGTTCCCTGCGGGGAGTGAAACAGAGTGTCAGGAAAGGGAGGAGGGTTTGCAAAGTTGCGAAAGTGACACTCTGATGGGAGGGCTCCCCTGCAGAACCGGCAAAGGATAGGAGTGCGGGTTGCTTTGCAAGCACCCCGAACTGCTTGCAAACCTAGTTACTTTTGGAGAAAGATGTGACAGCCTTTGAAAGAGATGGAAGCCGACGAGGTTTGGTTTCTAAGTGAGCACACCGTCGGTCCTTACGGACATCCGTTGCGTTTCTGTCACACTCGTTGGCAGTCCTGAATCTGGTCGCTTCTCATCTTCTACACTCAAACTGTTTCCATCAAGAAGGCCAAACCTCAGTTCCCACCTCTCCTCACACCCACAAATAAGCATAACCAGATTCGCCAAAACCCATCCTTAACCTCGTCAACATTTAAACAGCTGACCCACCTTGAAGGCGGGCCGCTTGGTCATGGCATAGACGGAGCGCCAGCCGCGCGAGTGCATGACGAAACCGGTGACGATATCCTCCGTGATGGACCCGTAGATCCAGCCAATGTCCTTGCCCCACATGCTGCCCTTCTCGTAGTCGATCGCCGTCACCTCGATCGCATTGCGCAGCACACGGTCCGGCTCCGAAAAGTCCTGCAGCAAACCCAGCGTTTTAGGGTGGTTAGGAAACGGGTTTGTTCTGAGGGTTCAGCAATAGGCTCGGGAAAATCCTGCAGCACACCCAAGGTTTCGAGAGTTATCAAAACGGGTCTGTTATGAGTAAGGTAAAGTTCTGAAGTATGACAAATCCGATTCCAGATTCTGAAATTGCTTGGTTAAGTCTGGCGTTCCTAAACCAGCATCCGTTCCTAAACCAGCATCCAGGCCAGCATGAAAAACCAAACTGACTTTCGAGGGGCAGGTTTGCAGAACAAAATCCTGAGCGCTCTGCCTTTGACACAATGGCGCTCCAAAGAGAAGACATAAGACGCTTAGTCCACAAATATCCAACCTTACAAACTTGACAACAGCCATCCGACAGGTACAAGCCACTACTCTGCTAAGGAAAGGTGTGCGATCAAGCAGCAACTAAAACAGCGCCTGCGCTTACCGCAGACGGGGCAAGGCCGGTCTCAAGCGTGCTGGAGACGAAGTCGCCGCACTTGCCGAAGCGCTTCTGCAGGTCCTCGTAGTTAACCTTCAGGGGCTTCAGATCTGCATGGCCGCAAGAGAGAAAATTCAGTACAGGGAACTAATTCCAGATCGAAGGTTAGAAGCAAAAGCGGAGCGATTTCTCGCTTGTTGCCAGTCTACAATGAAGCACTTATTCCGTCGGAACTACGTGGAATCCACATCGGTTGAAAGCAGACGGGCAGGTCGAACGAAGGCACAGAGCCGAGGCCTTCTCATGCAACCAGTACACTGCACTAAGCCGAAGCCAGAAAATCAAAGCATGTGCGTCCGAGGCTTTGGAAGCTTCGAAGGCTTCGGAGATGCGGAGAAAGATGTCAAAAGACGTGAGACCTAGATAAGTTCGCTTGGTGATTTTGGTTCGAACCAGAATAAAAAAAACTTACACAAACACTCAGAACGACACTTGTTCCATACCAACTGCGATAGAAGCGAACCCAGACGACCCACCAGACGACACACCTTGCATGTCTGTGAGCTCGTGCCCCGAGACGCTGTCCTCGTCGCCCTTCTTGCCCTTCTTCCCGTTGGCGCCCTTGCTCTTGCGCGGGCCGCAGCACCACGAGAAGAAGCCCGTCTGCTTCTCCTCGTCGCGCAGCGCGTCGCGCGCCTTGGCGGGCGGCTCGTAGCCGTACAGGGCCTGAGGAAAGACGAGAGTATGCATCACGTCAGCTTGGAAGGAGTAAGGAAGGACAGAACAATCGGCTGGAAGGAGCTGCTTCTTAAATGGCTGGGCTTCGCTTTTCCTCACGAGCGATTAACCCCACTTTTGAGCAGCTCGTACAGAAATAACAAAGCCAAGGGGGGTGAGTTTCAAATCAGTTGAGATCGAGTAGTAACGAGAGCAGTTGACTCCTGATTGAAGCAATAACCCCGACACGTTTGTCCATCCACTTCTTTTTCGCGCTGTACATACTTGTATCCTTCCTCTCGTGCAAGCTCTTCGCTCTTGTGGATCGGGAGATGCTGGATTCAGGAGCCTCACAACCTTTTCAGTTCGCCATCATAATCAGCTGAGCGATCTAAAATTGACAAGAGACTAACTCGCCGAGCGCTGAACGCTTCCCCTTCCGCTCACCTGTCTTCTGAAGCAGCACCCCGTGCCGACATACACTGGCCCCTGGATGGAATCCAGCCCCTTCATGTTGATGTCGTAGAAAACGGTGTTGTGGTTGGAGTACCGATCGTTGGTATCGATACCGTCGAACCGCTGCGGGAACTGAACGTAGCAGATGCCGGGGCCCTTGATCGGGTCCATCATGAAGCACATGGCCTGCGGGCGAATACAGAGACGGTTTGAGATGTGGACGAGAAAAAGCAACAATGCAGACGGCGGTTTGGACGGCTTTCAGGGTTGAAAACTTGGCTTTCTGCTCAACGGAATCCGACCATTTTCTTCCTACAGGGGTGGACGTCCGAAACCTTTTGTCATGTCAGGAACCTGTTTTGCTGCAGAGAAGTTGTAAACAGACGTTTCCTGACACGTGGGTCCCTATCAGGTCAAATGTAAAGGCACCCAAAGCGGCATGCTACAAAATTCAAAGAGGAAACCGGCTGAAACGTCGAATGAATTCGAATGAAAGTCAATCTAACTTGATACTTTGCAACGGCAAATCATCCTCACCTCCTTGAACGCCTTGGCGTAGTTGACGTAGTGATCACAATCCAGATTGAGGATGTACGGCGCGTTCGTGATGACCCCCGACGCGCGCACGAGCGCGTTCATGGCTCCGGCCTTCTTGTTGTGGTTGTGCTTCGGACGCTTCTCACGAGAAACGTACACGAGCCACGGCAGCTTGTTCATTTGGACGTCCGGGAAGTTGCCGTCCGGCTGGAGCAGCACCTGAAAGCAATGGGGGGTAAGGTTTTAAGGTGGAAAAGGGGGGGGGGAGTGAAGTAGTGTTCGTTTGGACGTCCGGAAAGTTGCTGTCCGGCTGGAGCAGCACCTGAAAGCGAAAGGGGGGCAACTTTTAGGGTGGAAAAGAGGGGGGGAAGGAGTGAAGAAGTGTTCGGCAGTGGGCTCGGTATGGATTCTGTACATCCAGGAAGTTGCTGTACAAGACGTGAATCCCCTCCGGCAGCACACAACCAGAAATGAAGGACACTGCGGAGCAAAAAATTGTTCAAAGTCCAAACAAAGGTAAGGAAACGGAGGGAACTTGACAAAATAAACAAAGTCCGTCCTGTGCTCACCTGGATCATCGACTCGTGGTCGCTGCGCTTGTTGCCCGGCCAGGGGGAGCCGTCCGCCATGGTCCAGCCGTCGCGGGGGCGGTTCTGCGCCTTAGCCACAAGGGCGTTGATGCGCACCTTGAACTCCTCATACAGCCGCTGCAAATAGAAACGGTTTAAGAGAGTGTGCGGGTTAGGGAATGGCTCGAGATTGGCGCGAATGCTGTCAGACGGCCGACTGGCTTTGCGTACTTATGATGGCTAGTGAAGCTTCATTGAGCATGCTAGCGGGTTCGGGCAAAGTGGGCAGCTTTGCTTGCAGATGACTTGGGGCTAACATCTGCACACTTTGCAAAAGACAAACTATTCGTTTTCTTATGAGTCCGTTTATGCAGCAAATTACTCAGGCGAGCGGGCTTGAGGAATACGTAGCACAGGTAGAATCAAAGAAGACTCTGCTTACAGTCTGAGAGCAGCAAGGATGGTTGCGCTTTGGAGATGGTCAAAACGTAGCGTTGTAGTGTTGCTCACCTTCATTGAGCGCCGCTCCTTGACGAACTCCTGCTTGATCTGTCCCTTCAAGTAGTCCCCCTTCTGCAAGAACAGAGTCGAGAGGCTTCAAAACAAGCCCAAGACGAGCATAGCATCCAGAATGACGTCATACCTTGTCAACATAATCAAAAAGAGGCTAGTGTCCGAGGGAGCTCTTATGCGAACCGTATAATAAACTCGCACCAGCCACCAAGCTTAAATCCTGAAACAACGAGTCACCCTAAGAACGCTTTTTATCTCGGAGAAAAGCGAAGGGCTGTACTCAACAGCAGGCGGCAGGCGTAAGTGGACCGGATATCGTTTTTTTACCTCTCCGAAGTACATCTCGGGAGCGCGCGGCTCAATCTCGAACTTCTTGCAGAAGGGCACCCAGTGGCGCGCAAAGCAGGACGTCTCGTGGAGGGCCTCGTACGTCAGCAGGGCACCGCCGTCGTCAGACAAGTAGCACGCGATCCTGCGCGGGAGATACCGCGGGCTCAGTCAGCAGAGGGAAAACGTGATCGAGAACAAGCATGGGAGATAGCCACACTTTTACAACACGTGGCTACAAGCGAGATGGATCCAAGCAGCTTATCCAGGCGATGAAAATCCAAACCAAGCGGACCATACAACGACAATCAGAGAAAGTGCTCATAGGCCTTACAGACGTTCTTGTCTTCCACTTCGGATTCCAAGATTCTCCGCAGCGCCTCTCACAGCATGGTCCAGTCGCTAACCGATTCTCAAGTCAACCTTGGGACCTGCTAAGACATAAACTCTGACCCGGCAAAACTCTCCAGACATGTGCTTACTTGTCCGTTGGGTAGTCCGCTGCCAGCACTGACAGGATGACGTTCGCCGTCACGAGGGGGGGCTCCTTCTCGGGATCAGCGGTACTGACGAACACGTCGACACCCGCCAGCTCAGACGCCTCGCCCATGTGGTCGTACTTGAGCTCGAGGCGGTCCAGGTACGTCTCGCGCGTGATGGGGGACCACTTTTGGGCCTGCAGGAGGAAGGGTATTGCCCATCAGGACACTTGTCAAAAATACACAAAGTCAGAAGGAACCACTTCTAAGCCTGCAGAAGAGATGAGGTTGGAAGGATTTCCAGAACCCTTTTTTCCGGTGGGATGTGCGCCGGTCTGTGGCAGGAAAGGCGGGTTGTGACAAAGATCACTCGTGGATTCGGAGGATGTTTGAAAACGGTTTGGCGGAGCATGGGGCCAAAGAAGCAAACCCTTTCACAAATCACCTCCCCAAATTAGCTCATGAAGAGTTTCCATCCACACAAGCTGCTGCCATCTCCCGACATTTCGTGCCACAGCTTGAGCAGACGACGAACCACAGCCGACAGAAACCCTGGAACTTTTCTAAAAAAGTGAAACAAGCCTCTGCTAAAGCGCTCACCTGATCGAAGAGCCAGGAGACAGCGAACCAGATCTCGCACACGACGGACGTGAGCCACAGCCAGTAGGCGCTGTTGTTGGGGGTGCGCACCCGCCACGTCAGAAACAGGAGCATGACCGCAAATCGCACGACTACGAGCGCCCTGCAGAAACAAGCGATTGGATTAGCTCTCCGCCAAAAAGTAGAAAAGAATGAGCTTCAATATGGAAGGCTCGTTGACCACACTCATCCAGCGAACGGGGGAAAGCAAGACAGATGCGCTAGTCAATGTACAGGACATTAGAGACGCCAACAAATAGTTCCTGCTCTCTATCCAAACCATTTCTTAACCAGTGCAACCTCTCCCTCTACCTTGCTGACTGATCCGTTCCCGACTTTGTAACCGATTCTGCTAACCTCTGTAGCCACTTCCTCAAGTGTGAGGGTTAAAAGAAGCACCCTGGTCATCCTCTCCCTGCCAACTTTCTCAACCAGACTCTGTAGGCCCACCAACCTTGCCGACCAATCTCCTAGCACTTGTCAAACACTCTTCCTACCAACTTTCTGCGCTTGGTTACCCCCTTACCAACCTTGCTAACTGACCTCGTCAAACAAGGTCCTACTGTCGAGGAGGCCAGTTGACGGGCATTCTACTACCTCTTCTCTTAGCAACCTTTGAAGATCAGGTTATCTGGGTTCTCACCTGTAGGGGTTGAGGAGGCGCCACTTGATGGGCACCTTGCGCGACAGCGACTTGGCCTTCTCATCGCCCTGTACTTTTGCGTACTCATCCCCAGGGCTGTTGATGCGCTGCAGCGCGGGGGTCCACACAATGCTGCCCATGCCGTAGTTCTTCTCGAGCTCGTCGGGGTCTGGAAAACGGAAGGAGATATATCGAGTCTTTCCTTTCTATTTGAATTGTCCTTAAAATAAAAAAGTGTCAGGTGCGATGAGAGGCTGCCTGTCGCAGGTTTTTTGTTGACCTCGTCTGGAGAACACCCATGCCAAACTGCTCCTCAAGCTTGTCAGGGTGAACTAGAGCCGCTTTCACAAAAGGAACAACGCACGAAACCACTTCAGCGCCACCCATGCTTGACCAGACAGCTTTTAGGCAGTCCTCAAAGTATCTGCCAAATACCTTAACACAATGCTCCTGGAAAAAAGATGGCAAGAAGACAAGATGGTCTTACCTTCTATGTCCTCAGCATTCACGCGCACGACCACCTGGGAGTCGTGAACCCCCGAGCTCTCATTCTTCTGCAAAACAGCACCACAATTACAATCTCAGGAGATGTAAACTGCCCCGGACCAAAGAAAAGAGACTCACATACCCTCTAAAAGATTTGCAGCGGTTATGGGCATCAACTGTGGCCATCTTGTTTGGTCTATCACCAGCCATCTGTGAGATGCAAAGCATCCCTGGTTCATCATGCCTATGACTTGGTTACAGACAACTTCAAGAGCCCAAACGCTTGGCATTCGCACGGTCCTACATGCATGCTGAGAGTGCACACACTTCCCCGTAGAAGTTCAGAAGTGTTCGCAGCGCTAAGGAGTCTGGGAAGTTCTTGCAACTCTGCTGCTCAGATCTTCCCCAGGTAGCAACACAACCCTGTGAATCCATGTAATCCAGGCCGACCGGTTTGTAGCGGAACCACGAAGCACCGACTCTCCTTGTTATGAACAGATCCAACGAGATGCACTGACACAATATGATCACTGGTCCTCCCTAACCTACAGTCAAATCTCCTGGGACAGGAGTGCTGTTGGGTTAGATGCCCTGGTGGCAGTTGCACATTCTTCAAAGGGACAAGACGAAAAGCTGCTCCCCCTCATCTCCCAACAGACCAACGATCCCTCCCGATAGTTCCCAATCACTAACTTACTTTATCCCGCAAAAGCAGCACTACAGCAAAAGGTAGAGGGCTCTCCACAGGGGGCCTTACCAGTAGCTTGACTGACGGAGGGCCCTCGAGTGAGTTCCCCCCGTAGCGCGGCAGCAGTGGCGTCTGCTGGAATCCGTCCTCATCCTCCCCATCGGACGCGGTCTCATCCTCCATGTCCCACGGCATAAGGGGGCTCCCTGAAATGGAAACGGAAGGGGCGGCAATTGGTTTACATACGATAGACACGATTTACACGTGGTAGGTGCTATCAGAAGGCACTGAAGTCTTCAGATGGGAATTACGTTTCCTCCTAAGGGAAGCAGTCATTGTCAGGGCGGTGGTTGCAGCAGTCAGGGGGGTGATCATTGCCAGGGACTGTCTGCCGTGTCAAAAAAAGCCTGCTAGTAGCCTTGAAATTGGAGCCAAACATGTCCCTGGTCTTCTCAATCATTGCTGGGGAACGACTTGATGTGACACACCGACGGCGAAAGCACAGGAAGGCTGGTCTGACAACCGTCATGCTGATGTCAGGCTGACTTCGCAATGACACGTCTGCCCCCCCTCCCAAACATTTACCATTGTGTGCATTCGCTAAGAGATCGATTGTGATGAAGTGAGCGAACGACACTGACTGCCTTTCCCAGAAATAAGACCACGATGCAAATGCTGGAGGAATATTCAAAAGGCCAACTTCCGCACTGGTTTTCTGACACTCCGTCACTGCTGCGTATCAGCAGCAAATCACCTAACTTTCCCGTGTGCTAGTTGATCAATGAGCACAATCTAGGGTCAGTTGCACAACAAATCTCGGGCAGTGTCTGGTTTCCATTTGCAACCAAGCCTGAACCCGGGCTTTTGGGAAAGCTTGTCACTTACGGAGTGGCAAAGCACACGCTGAGCCTCAATCGCCCAGTAACAATAGCCTGACGACCGTTTGCAGCCCACACCACATGTCATTCCAGGGTCACTCCAGGGTTCCTTGGAGATTGCATATCGAAAGACTTGGCCCCCCCACTCTTCCTAGGCCCTGAAGCCCATACGATTCCACCGATGGACCAAACGAAAGCGGAACACCCACCTGCCATCCGCTTGTAGCGCTCCTTGCACTGGGGGCAGTTCCCGCCGTCATGCTCTCGGATGTACTCATAGCATTTGCGGCAGATCGGAAATGCGCACTCGCATGGCACAAACTCGTTGCCGTCGAGGTCCAGCCCGACCTGCGTGTCGCAAATCTCGCATACCAAGGGCCGCTCCCCCAGGTCGCTGTCGCTGCCATAGTGGTGCTGCAAAAAGGGGCCGGAGACACTCAGGATACCATTCTGAATGCGCCGTTTGTCCTATGGATGCTTTTGAGATGAAAAGCCCCTCGTATTTCAACGGCCCGCTTTGCCAAAATGGAAGAGAGCAGAATGAGCCGTGGGCCAAGAGTCCTGCAATATAGACTGCTGCAAACAGGAGCAGGGTTCAAAAAAGAGAAAAACTAGCTTCCACAGACGGCTACGTAAGGAGCTAGCTTGATGGAAAGGGTGTACATTAAACAGATCCACAGTTTGACCTGAAGGGTGGTCACAACTGGAAAGGAATTAGATAGCATTCTGTTGACAGTGTGGAATCCTCCAGAATAACGGCCTTCTAACAAGTTTGAGCACTCGAGGTCACATTTAGTTTTGAAACTTCTGCCCCTTGATCAATCTGACTTTCAAGACCTCCTGTGTTGGCAAAAACACCAGAAATGTGGAAATTCAAGGGCGTCCTCCTACAGGGGCGAGGGCCTGCTGCAAACAGCCTGGCACTACAACATGCAAAATGTGCTTCGCCTGACAGCTGGCATCCATGCAGAGTGCTATATCTACTTTCCACAGGGGCGGTCCCGACATGCCACCTTGTCTTGAACAGGGCACTGCAAGCGCCAGCATTGGTGCAAAGAAATGGAGTCTATACGCAAAATCTCAGGAACATGGTTGCTCGTGCAAAACTGCCAACTGTCAACAGCTGTCAACTATGCGTCGACTGCTTTAACACACTATGCTTATAGGAGAGCCCGCAGGACTTCCTATTTACGCCCCCTCGGACACAGCTTGAGATGTCGACTGCAATGATCCGTGTCCTCCAAACTTGTGCCCTTCTGATTATGCCCTTGTGAACATGCCATGCAAACAACACTGAATTGGAAGAGAAAGTTTGGCACCATTAACCCTCTTGAGCAAAGGAGGCACACAGTGCTCAGATGGACCCTCTTGAGCAAAGGATATTCTGTGGTCTTTGGGGCAGCTTCGCTTTCTAGTCACAACAGGAAACTGGAGTCACGGCTAACTGGCAACCAACCAAAAGCAAGGAACAGTGGTGTTGTGAAAAGGTGGGAAGGGCTTATTTGGGCAAAACACAAAGCAATGCCCCTTCTATTGGACACCAACACCAACAAACACAAAGTCAGCCTTGCCACGCTTGGAAAAGATTCTCCGCTGTGCACCTGACCTTTTCCAAATACCAGATCCAGAAGATGACACGTTACAAAAGAGCCTTTGCTCTGCACACACCTCCCCAGATCCACGAACGTAACCAGAACACCCGACAGATTTAGGGCAACACCGCAAAAGGCGTTTGGGAACAAAGGAACTCACCATTCTCATGGGGGACACCTTGATCTTAAACTCCTTCTTCATGGTGGACCCCGTGACCAGTTGGTTCTCCAGAGAGCTCCCGCTGGAACTCGAACTCGCAATGCCCATGCTCAGGTCACCCCCGTCGTGGTGCAGATCCCGGCCCTCCTCCAAGCTAACCTCGCTCGCTGAGCTGTCCATTCTTTGGTGCCCTGGGATGATAAGATGCCGAGGGGGGGTCCGCAGCTCCCCTTCCCGAGAACCCCTCGTGGGGGTAGCGCGCAGCTCGCCCTCCCTCCATTCTGCAGAGCTGGAGATGAGACCATTCACACCAAGCGCGTCCTGCGAGGAGGGTCCCACGACCCCACCTCGATGGTAGTGAATGTCGTCGTTCTCCATTTCTATGGGGCGGAAAGGCCCCACTGAGGAACAGACGCACACCTTTTGAGAGCTCCTCAAAACGCCCTGTTCACCTTCAACACATTTGCATCACCATGGTGGAATGCCAACCACTGCTGCGTCCTGAAAGCATTCCAAAAGTGGCTGCTCCAAAAGCGCCCTTCCTTCCCAGATCCGGTGTTTAGCTAGATTGTCGGAAGCAATGCAAAGCGCAATCTGAGGTGGCAGTCCGCACAGCTTGTCTCCACGTTCGGGCTGTTCTCCTAGGTCAAGAATGGTCAACAACAGGGTGACTCGGACGCCTCGGTCCGCAATGCTGCGTGGGGCCTAGTGCAGAATCGAAAGCTCTTGCACACCCGGTTAAAGGCAATTGGCAGGGAGTCCGGTGCTTTGAAGAAGTCGATTCATACTCTTCAAAGACCGGTAGAAATCCCCGAGCCACATTTCCAAGCCGCTTCTCGATGGCAAAAAGAGCCGTTTGGAAGATTGCAACCGTCCGCAAAGCAGCCCATTTCTGACGCGGATTCTGTGTGAACAGGCCAGATAGGTAATGCGAGATGAGCCCAGGCGAAAACTAGGGGGGTGGACGAGAGAGATCGGGAATGCTTTTGGGTCGGCCGGGACCTTGGACCGGTAGCAGGACAAAGATTCGTTGCTGTACCGGCATGCTAATTTTATCCCGCTACCGTAGCGGCTACGCGACCGCTAGGTGCTTCTTGACCCGCCCACCTTTCGGTCCCCGGGACCTCCATAAAGTTGGTCCGGGGGAACAGGTGTATCTTGGTATCAATCCTGAGCCGTTAAGGTACGAATACCGATAGCATCGGACGGCCCACCATCGTACACCACATTCTTCTATACCCCGCCCAGTCTTTCTCCGGCAAGCACCTACCGAGGACCGGGCCGGCTAGGCCTTACCATACCAAGGACCGCTCGACATCCGACCTCCCGAGTCCCGGCCCGGCCCGGGGGCCGGGACTCTGGCAGTGGCAACGTTCGCTTGACCTAACTAGGGGCGCTTGAACTAAGATAGCGCCCGGGAGCCGAGTGGGGTTGGTTTGGTGGTTAATAGGATGGGTTCGGGTGCGGAGCCCGTAAAGTATTGGGTTAGGGTTTTCAGTTTGAGTGCCCGGGAGACTCGGATCTTAGCTCAGGCCGGGGGTGACCTGTGAATACGGTACATATTGATCAGACAATCCAGACGGTGAACCCCGTCTTGGTGAATCCGACGGTCCAAGGGCCTCCCGTTTGCATCTTTGTTTTAAGCGACCAAGATATGCTTTTGGAATAGTAAGCGGTCGCTTTCAAGTTGCATAGAATTTCTTTGCCCAGGGGGTTGGGGCCGCGTTGAGTGCTTTCAGGGGTCGCATAAAACAGTTGAACATTCACCAGGGGGTTAGCCGGTTTGATGAACCTGTTGGCTGGAAGCTATAGGTTCAGTACGTTGGGTAGACTCCGAGCAGAGCTGGGTACGGTATCGCGCCTATCGGGTCAGTACCCCCTGGTAGATAGGGTGGAAAAATATATGCGACAGTCTGGTCCCCCGCCACAACGTCCTAGTTTGAAGAGCGGACTCTTTGACCCCCCACCTGCAGATTTAAGACCTGTTCTGCGGTGCGCAGCGCGCGCAGCTTGATGGAGCCAATGAACACAACCGCCCTCTTACCTGGAGATGGAGGGGCACGTTCCTTCCGCCGCTCTAGGTAGTCCGAGTCATTCCTGCCAATGGCGCTGCGCCACACCCCCTGGGCCTGAAGTCCGAGTTCCTTTGAGCCGCTGCGGCTTTAGCAATTTGCTACCCACGACAGGATTACGCCCCACTTTCCTTCTTCCTCTGAGCAGCTGAAGCTGTCTGAGGTTTCTTCCAATCTGGTTTTGCCCCCCTCCTTAAGTAGACTTGTGTCCAAGAAGCGCGTCCGTTTGCGAAAGGTTTTTGACGTGCAAGTTGTTGATTTCTCAGTGAGAGCCAAGACTTTTTGATGGCCCTTTCAAGAGTGTATGTACGAAGGCAGTGGGCGTATCTAGGCTAGCAAACACAGGAAGCTTGCAAGTAAGTCCAGAAGTGGGAGTGAAATTGTGCCTCTGTTGCTATTTCCATACCTTTGTATGTATCTGCATGCAATGTGTCCAGTTGATGTCAAGCTTTCAACTCATACTGCTTTGCTGTGTTTGCTTGAGCTGCCTCCTAGTGTTCTGTTTCACTTGTTGTCATCTAGGGTTTTGTCTTTCCTGACCTTCTTCTTCGTTGTTACACGCAGGTTCTGCTGGTGGGAGAGCTGCCCATAGACATGGGGCGCATATTCCGACAGTATCTGAATGGCCCGAGGATTTATTCATGCAGCAACTGCAGGTGCCACTCAGCTGACCATGATGAGATCATCTCGAAGCAGTTTCAGGGCCGCTATGGCCGTGCATACCTCTTCAACTCCGTGTGAGCTGTCTCCCTTCTTCCGGTTGCCTTCCAAGCAGGAAACCTGCATCAACATTTTCAGCCAACCCGCATTGTTATCTGTCAGCGAAGTCCCTTAGCAGCACCATAAAAGGTGCAGACGGGAAACTGTTGCTACTTGTTCTGGGCAAAGGTTTTCTGTGCAACTCATCTGCCATAAGACAGAGAGCAGTTGTGGCTCCAGTGTTGCCTTATGAATTTCCTTGCATTTCACACCTCAGCTGGAAGGGTTCCACCACATGAGATTGCAAGCAAAGACCCACCACTTGCCGTGGCTTACGCCTCTGTGGGCATTCACTTTCAAAGTTTGCGGATTGCGCTAGCAGGGAGTGTTGTCGCTTGCATATGTGTGAGTGAAGCATCTGCAAGGATAGGCTGCTTGTACATTCAGCTGCCATTGTGTGCACATTCAGAATTTGATTTGAAAAAGTGGTTTTTGGAGCTGGTCTGTATTTGTGGAAGTCCCGCAGGTGCATATTACACCGACACATGTCTAAGGCACGGGGTTCAGTCCAGCTATTCTGAAAGTTTCTCCTCCGCTTACAGTGTTAACGTGACTCTTGGTCCTAAAGAAGACCGCCACTTGACTACTGGCCTACACACTGTAGCGGACATCTACTGCAGCTGCTGCCAGCAAATATTGGGCTGGAAGTATGTAAGTGTTTGCAGATGGCCAATGTCTGGAGTTCACATGACCAAGAATTGGAATTCGTGGTGGTTTGAACAGAAGTCTTTCCTTTCTCACTAGGCTAAGGCAATTTGGCAATTCAGTAAGGGAGAACGATGCTTTTGCTTCAGCGGACGCATATGGCAATCGACAGGTTTGGGTTCTGTTTATTCTTTCCTCCCTAGCCCTATCCTTGCCTCTGGAGTTGACAGTCAATCACCTTTGTACAGGAACAAGCGTACGACGAAAGTCAGAAGTATAAAGAGGGAAAGTATATCATAGAGAAAGCTAGGATGATGAAAGAGAATTGGTGAGAGATCAAGGCACTCTGTCTTAGCTCAACGGGGCAGGTTTTGTACATACTGAGGGTGACCATAAAGGTGGTGGAGCTGCACAAGCACATGTAAAACTAGATCAGTGACCAACAACTTTAAGCAGGCGAGGTTGCACATTAGCAACCTCCAAAAGATAACCAATTGGGAAGGAAGATTGACGGAGGTTCTGAGATGCTTGCAGAAGAACGTGAGTTGCGTGCTCACATCCTTACAACATCTGGTTGTAACAACAATTAGAACAAGGATAGATTTGTACGATGAGATGTAGTCGTGTATTGTAAATTGAAGAACGACGTTTGATAAGGGTTAACGACTCGCTAGGGCCACGTCCTTTAGCATTTCTTTGCGTGCATGGTTAGGATACATTGCCATGCTGGATATTTGAAGGAATTTTGGCGAGTCATGCATCGAGTTGCCTTGAGAGGTTCTTTATATTAGAGGATGGCTGCATCTAACGAGTAGTACTCGAGTTTTGATTTTCAAAAAAGAAACACAGTATTCCCAATCGAAACGAATGGTAGTGATCAGGGGGGCCGGGCAAGAGCCTGTATATGATATTATCTTTTCAAACTTGAAAACACCGTAGCCACACATGGGCCATAGCTAGGCTTCCATGACAATACAATGTTTCAATGATGTAATTTGAATGATGGTTGGTGCGTGGTGGCGCGTTCAACCTTACTACTTTTAATATACACACTTCAAGTTCTTTCTGTGTAGTTTAACGTTTACATTGCCTGCCATCATACATGTTAGTATACGTATCGTTGTTGTACATTCACTCGATCTATAAGTTCTGGCAACCATGCATTGGTATCGACTATAGCTCTCCGGGCCGCGCGCGGCTACGTTCAATCAAGTTGCATATAGTATAAAGGCCGATCCGAGCAAAGCTGTATGCAATCAGGCGGCCATGTGTGTCATGGAGGCAACGCCCTTCCAGAATTCGATCAGTGTATACATGGGCAGCGGATTGACATATATGTGCTAGCTGTCTGATCGAACTGATCCTTCACAGCGTGGCTTGGACGCGCAATGCAGGACATAGAATGCAGTGACGCGCATCATGAGAATGTCATTGATCAACCGTAAGTTACCTTTAACCACAATATACAGGCCCGCAAGCCTTTGATTCCGATGAAATGTACACTGCAAAAGCCCGTATGCAATTTAAGCGCGTGCCGTCACGCAGATGGCCGGCAATCTTTCAATCGTGACCACATGAATGGAGATATGTCTTTCATAGAACTTACCATAAAGGGTCCTTGTTTCATTTCGAGTTGATTCGAAGTTCGGAAAGGCTGGATGACATACCGAGCCACCATGGTTCTCTGAATTCCAATCCTATGGCTCGCATGGCTGTGGCATGCCAAAGCACGTACTCAACTTGACATCATGGTATGAGGAGCGATGCATCTTGAACCAACTTGTGCAACCGTCAAGCGGAGAGATTCGCTTCTACAATTGTCGAAAAGTTGTGCAACCCATGATGTTGGGAATCTGGACGAGATAATGCTCCAAAATTCGCAGCCGCCTCTCTATTGTCCATGTGAGCATGCTTCACCTTTCTAGCGACGAGGAATACCTCAGAATCAACATCCGTTTGCTTCCTCCTGAAACTGACCCCCACCACTGATCAAGCAAATTGCTCGCCTTTCTACTTTGTGGTACATAACTTGGCAGCTCCAACAAAAGTCCTTTTACATAACCCCAACAATTTAGAGCTAGAAAGAGTCACAAACAAATCTGAAAGGTGCAATAGGCACGTGTATCAAAGAAAGTCACGACTTTGATGATTGAACTTGAGCCCGACATTTGCAGACGATTTCAAATCTTCGCATAAACCCATATGATCATAAAACTCGACCCAACACCCAATCGACCCCATCATCATCACCTCAACGGACCCTTAATCTTTACCAAACAGGTAGCCGATTTGTGATTCGCCATGTTGTGAAGGCTTTCCATGCCCACCGTTGCCCTGCAATTTTATCAAGCTCAGATATAGACGTTGACTCATATGACAAGCTTGCAAGCTGCTGAGGTGCAACATGAAACGGGCAGAGTGCACTGCATAGACTTGCATTGGACATGCTCGATTCAACGATAATACTGCTTACAATCAACATCTAGACCTGGAAGAACAGCAGGAGAATCCATGTGCTTTTCCAGCGTAGAACGAAGGGAAGGAGACCCTCACATCAACCTCCATTCAGTTCCAAACAAGTAGTGCACCAATCGGGTCACAGAAGAAAGTCGAAACTGTGGAGAGTGGATAGGGAGGAGAAAGGAGGAAGACAAAGCAGCCTGCAAAACTCACAAGGGCTTGGAATCCAGCGGCCGGCCTAGCGCTGCCGTTGGTCGACGGCTTCGGGGAGAATGACGCTTGGGTCACTGACGATGGGGTGGCTGCATAGCCCCAGTTTGATTGCTCGTCCCCTTTCAAGCACGACTCCGCTGTCGCAGACGGCTCAAACTGCAGGCTGCTGATGCCCTTTGCCCTTGAAGGTCCCGCCTGTTGCAAACAAGCATGCAGTTGCTTGGTGTCAGGTTGGATATAGAATCCAGCTAAGTAAAGAAACATCAGAGTTAAATGCTAAGTTCGTCCAGTTTGTCTCACGCTTGCAAAGTTGATACAAACCCAAGACCCTTTGAAAACATAAGAATCTCCAAGGAGCCACCTTTGAGGATCCAAGGGTGCCAACAGCTCAGGTGCTCACTGCAAAAAGATGCTCCTGGCCAATCAAGCGGCCATTGACACGCCCTTTCGCATAGCCGTTAAGGGCTCGGAGAAAAGTTACAAATTTAATGTTGCAGGCTTGAAAGCGGGGCTGGTCAATGCTGGACCCGACTCAGGTCTTGTGCAATGCATAAGAAAGCTGGGAAGTTTGAATAGGAAGCCACGACATTTTCTGCTTGCTATACCTGCCTGTTACCACTCAATCTCTTACTGAATCCTTTGGTCTTTTAGTAGCAGTTGAGTCAAGAAGTTTGGAACAATCACAACCGTCAGGGCTCTCTGCGCAAGATGTATCCTCCAAATTTTATGGCGGTGCTTCGGCAGTATGAAATTTAAGAAGAGGCAGAAGAATCATGAAATAGCATGACGGGCATTTGGTCAACAGGCATTGCTTACTCTGCAAGGACATTTCTTTTAACATTTGACTCCAGGACCGTAGCTGGCGTCCAATTGCACGACTTGGAAAGATAAGACCTTTCACGAGGATATGCCCTTTCACGAGGTAATCATGCCTTGTACCCCTTCCCTCAATTCCCTCAGCCACAAGAGACAAACTGTGTGAAATGCAAAGTGTAATGCAGAGCGAGCACACACTTACGGTGTCCGGACTTCTGACATGTGGCAAGACAGGATTTGCCCCGTCCTTTACCCTGCTGACCCTGTGACTTGGCAGGCCTGCCTCCAGATGCTCCAGATCTAATGGTGTGGGAGTGTTCTTCAGGTATGTTGGCTCCCCAAAGAGATAATTCAAGGAGCTTACGCCGCCTCCGTGACTGGCATTCTGCCGCACCATCCTTCTCCCGACAAAACTACGGAGACTCTTGTTTTTCAAAATGGACCTGACTATGATGCACTGCTTCCTTAAGATGCAAGAAGAAGCCCTGCTCAGGGTTTCAATCTCCTGCAACAAATGCTGAATACTCTCAGTCTGCTCCGTGCGCTGTTGTCGCACACAAACTTGGCTTTTAGTGGGGACTCGACCTGGTTGAAAGTGTCCAATCGGGTTGTGAGGACCCCAGCAGGTGTGCGTATCACTGTGATTTCAAGAAAGCAGGGACGAGCTAACTGAGAAGGAACGTAGACCTACTCTGATAGGCTGGACAGGAAAGAGATGGTAAAAAGAAAGCGCAGAGAGCTTGTATTACTAGTCACACACACAGCTTCTGTCCAGAGCCGGCTGCGCCTTAGGCTTAGGCTTTGGCACACGCACCTCCGAATTTGATCTGCTTTTCAAACGAGCCGAGCCTGAGGTGCTAGAGCGCCGAAGTCGGAAAAGGTGCGATTCGTCACTGGCCGTGAGTTCACTGCAGTGCGCACTGCAGTCTGCAGTGTGCACTGTGCGGCCTCGAACTTGAACTTCTTGTCTGCTTCCAGCGATTGGCGCCAAACAGTGATGTCACTGATGACGTGGACAGGTTGAGACGCGGGCGGTGCTCATCTGACTGCCGGCGCCGATTGCGGAACTCGCGACGACGCCCCGGGGGAGACAATATTGAGGCCCGGGTGATCAACTGTTCACGGGTATCGACTGAGTGATTCCTAACTGACATAACCCAGAGGTTAACGCAGTGCTGTGCAGTGTGACCTGTCTCGGGCCGGCCATCAGCTACACTGTACGGTGTGCCATGCATTAGCTAAATTTATGTATGCGTGCCAGATTACCGGGTTACCCAAGTCTGCAAATGTTGCTTCGATTATCGATACCGTGGGGCCGGTTGTATCGCCCTCCGACCCGGTACATGGGGGGACGCAGATTCCGTTCCGGTGTTGGGCGACAACCGTCATGTAGTTACGACGGAATCGAATGCGGCAATCACTCGTGCAACCTCGGTCCTCGATCAGGCTTGAATGCGTCTGGTATCCCTGAAGGTGGTGTGCGACCAAGATAAGGGGGTGAAAACTGCAATAAATATATTTAAATAAATACTTTTTACCTCGAATATGGTGAAAAGCAAGCCCAAATGTGCTCAATAGACCAATAATCAAGTGGGTACAAGCCCAATCTCTTGGTCGCAGACCTCGTATACCAGCCCCCCCAGTTGCCACCCCAGGCCGGTATCCTCTAGCTAACAACTAAGGACAGCCCTCCGGTTGTGTTTCGAATCGAACTGAAAGCCCCGCTTTCCAGCAGGACGCACACTCGGTTCTTAACGTTTTGGCCGTGCCCCCGGCTGGGTGTCATTTGTCGGCCGCATCACAACTGCTGAAGGTTTAGGCTCCGGCTGCGCGTGTGTCACAGATCATTTTGTGCCGCGCAGAGCCGGCGCCGTACCAACAGCCGTGCAGTTGCGATGCTGCCGACGTGGCAACCAGCCGAGGTGAGGAATGTCGACGCGAGTGTGCGTGCTTGTGACGATTAGGTACTCTGGTTAAGTCTAACGTCGTTCTCGCACAGTTACGCTAACCGAGTGTTCTGTCGTCTGAATGGCAGGAACGTCTGCAGGACGCGCCATTCTAGTTCTCTGAAGGAGGACGTCTTGTCAAAGCTTCGACTTTCTGTCGTATTTGACGCGATCCCTTAGGATCACGCTTGCACTTAACGGATTATCCGTCTATGCAAGGAGGAATCTTATGGCAGAGCCATTCGATCCGTGATCAGTATCCCCTGGATATTGATGTCGTCTTGTCAAGCAGGTAACATTACCATGTAAGACAAGAAGATAGGATCTTTAGCTGTTCGCCGCTTCTCCTATCTGTACACGTAGATGTTTGCTGTCCATGCAAATCTCGTCACGTCATGATGCCGTGACCACGCTTTCTGTCTCGACTTGTGAAGCTTATCGTGACAGCGTGTCGTTCTCTACGTGTGTGGCTAAGATTGCGTTCTTTGCTGTAGCTTCTCTATGTGGTTGAGACGTGACCAGTGTCGAGTCAGTCAACGGTGCGATGTTGTCTGCTCTTCTCGACTGGGATCTCTTCTGCTACAGAGTTAGCAAGTCTTGCTGGGCAACCGCAAGGCGTATGCAAAGAGTCAAGTTTCTGCGACCAGCCTCTTCGTGAGTGGGAACACAGCAGACAGAACTTGGAAGCATCAAGCAACACTTTTACAGAGAGGCGCTCTCACGTGTCTTCCTTGTCTGTTGGCTGTAAAGCTTGCCCATGGTTTCCGCACATGTGTAAGCAGACTGATAGCCGTAAGTGTATTCACTCCAACGGCGTGCTAACTAGCCCCGCCGTCACAGTGGTCTCAGAGGTCTTTTTCGATCTTTCCCATGTCCGATTCTCCTGATCTCTCAGTCCTGAGTGATCTTCTTCAAGATCTTTCCGTTCAATTTCGATGCGTTTCCTTAAGGCGTCAAGACGGGGAACCCAGGGCATCCGGAGAGGAGGGGACAAGAGCTGAGTGTGTACGAGCACACGGAGCTGCGTCTTCAACGCGCAACCCTGCTTCACCAAGTGGGGAGGGAGCTTCACCGAATTCGGGAGCTGTCCCGTCGGGATCCAAACGACGTTCGGACAGCACCGGGGGAGCTGCGACAGGTGCTCTCAACTATCGAGCAGCTGTTCGAGGACCTGCGGTTTGTTTGGTCACTCCTTTATCCGGACGAGTAGCCAACATGGCTGCAGCGGCTGGAGCGGGAGCGACAGCAGCTGGTCCTATT